TCAGGAAGACTGTTCCAGATTTTAGCAGCATGAATCTGAAAAGCCTCCCCATGTTTAGTCCTGACTCTGGGCACTAACAGGAGTCCAGTCCCTGTGCTTCTCAGAGTCCCAGCAGGAGTCCAGTCCCTGTGCTCCTCAGAGTCCGGGCTGGTTCGTATGGTACATTGAACATGTCACTAATATATTTTGGAGCGAGGCCATGGAGAGACTTGTAACAAGCAGAGCTCACATGCCGGTTTGTTTACAACAGCGGCCGCCTGGCGCGGGCCTACGTCGCAGGATAAGACGCACTACGTTGACAGAAATGTTTAAATTGAATATTACTTATGCACAATTTTACAGCATTTAAAAACGTTAAAAACGTTTTTCCGTCTATCCATCCATCCATTTTCTTCCGCTTTATCCGTTGCCGGGTCGCGGGGGCAGCAGTCTAAGCAGAGACGCCCAGACTTCCCTATCCACACACACTTCCTCCAGCTCGTCCGGGGGGACCCCTAGGCGTTCCCAGGCCAGCTGAGAGACATAGTCCCTCCAGCGTGTCCTAGGTCTTCCGCGGGGCCTCCTCCCGGTGGGACGTGCCCGGAACACCTCCCCAGGGAGGCGTTTTTCCGTCTACAGAAGGAAAAAGACGCATGCGCCTCCGGAGCCGCAGGTTGCCGACTCCTAGTTTATACAGTATGTGGAAGCAAATACTGTAGAGGATCAGGATATGTACAGTTTCAACAATAAAATAAAATGCAATAGTCTACATCACAAGAGAGTAATAAACATGTCTCAGAGTGAGGGAGGTGGACACAGACAACACTATTGTTTGTTACAGGGATGAGAATTGGTCAAAAAAGACTGAAATGCATATTGTCAGCCATTAGCTGGCTCTAAATCTGTTTAATTTGTTCACAACATATTACTTTTGGGCTCAAACATGGGAGACGCGGACTGTTTCCTGCAGCAGTGTATTTATTGTGCACAGATTACTCAAAGACACGCATGGTCCTGTGCGCGTTTATGGGGTTGGGTACATGGCCACGTTGAGACTGCGCGCTCAGCCACAACACGGTGGAGCGGCTGCGAGCGGCTGGACGCTCACAGCCTTTCGCAGCCGCTGGACGCGGAAGCTGCTCATTACAAAGCGGCCGCAGATGCCCCGGAACACTACGGCCGCTGAGGTGGCGGGATCCCGTTCGACTGCATACAGCAGGTGCCCCGCGGATACGGGCGCCCCGCTCGAACAATTCTCAACGGATTTACACTTCTCATAAACATGTGTTTTGTATGAGGCAGACAGACCGGCCCAAATATGGGCATCGGCCCTTTGGGCATTGCCCGGTACGCCCGATGGCCAGTCCAGCCCTGTACATGTTCGCTGGCATCCTTGAGCTTGGACTACAAATTCGAAGTGATGCACAGTAGAGGAGGGCTGGGCCGAAGTGTTTTGTTAGACGCTCATGCCCTTATATGGCAGTCTCGCTGCAAATACTGTGACGTAATAATTCCAAACACGTAATAGAGAATGGCAAAATCAGAACGGGTTGAAAAATCTTAACCAAACAGAATATGAAGTGTTCTCTGCAACCCATGAAGAGACTGATTTCAACTTTTTTGCACTTCTAGAGGCTCCAACTACACAACATAATGCATTCAAGACACAAAAAGTGGATTTTTCATGATATGTCCCCTTTAAAGTTTGAGATAAAGGCATTTTGTAAATGAGAACGATCTTCAGTATGAACCAAACTTTGGGATGGATGTTGATTCGTCATCTAATTTGCATATTGTGACGTCATCAAGGTGGTGGCCATTTTGGAAAATGTTAATTATTGTATAAAGATTTCAAAAAGATGTAGTTTGAGAGTGTATTTTGAGATCAGGGAATACCATCAACAGTCTACGTGAAATATCTTTAGTATGAAAACACAATGTGGGATAGAAATAAATTCACTGATCAAATTTATATAGAATATTTTAGCACTGGTCCACGGCCATATGGAACTGTATTAGACCTTCAATGATCAAGATGGCACTGCTTATAGTTTACCAGTCATGAAATCTGCACTTTGGTTTCAATATTACCCTTTCAAAAGACCTGGTGGCATACAGTTTATCTCAGTGGAAATGAGGCTCCAGAATTCATCGTTTAGAAACAGAGCGATTAAATGAATGGGCTCAGAACTTGTCAGATTGTCTCAACAATAAGCAACAGGCTCTTCAACATTTCTGATCCACTTTTATGGATTATCTTCTCTAAAGAACTGCCTTCATCATCATCATCTCCGTCCGTAAAGGCAGATTAGCGGTGTGTTTTCTCCCGCGGCTTCTGCCACGTCTCCTGCGTTCCCCGTGGTTGTTTAACCCTGCTGCATTCACCCATATGCCCGGTGTTATGATCCCCCTGTCCCCTTCACCACGTCTCCTGTCTGGTGTTCGTAGAATGTTTCCACTGTGGCCGCACACCGCTGTGAAGAGGTCCGGGTTTTCGGAGTCAGCGGTAAAGAGGTCCGCACATTCAAAGCGGGTGGCCGCTTTATGTTAAACAGTGCATTGTGGCGGCTCATCCCCACGTCTTCTTTCCAATGTTGCTGTAATTAACAGCAGAAAGAGGCTATCCGCTTTTAATGTGCGGACCGCTTTACCGCTGACTCCGAAAAGCCGGACCTCTTTACCGCGGTGGCCACACGGAGGACGTAAACTGTGGCTGACTGTGGACTATTGTGGCGCGGACTCCTGTCACTAATAATGTCTGTATCTGCTTCACTGGAGACCTGCGTGTCTTCCTCCTCTGAATCTGAGTGAGCCAGTACCAAATACTTCTCTGATCTCTGGAGACCTCTGGCTCTGCTCTGGCTCCGCTCAGAACTACGGCTCCTGCTTCGCGTCGCTGCGCCGCAGGTGTTTTACAAACTCATTTTACTCTAATACTTTGAATATAACCATTCCCACAAAGGCCGCTCATATTAAAGGCACACATGTCCACTAACTCCTCGTGAAAAGTATTAACAAAAATTACTGCAATAAACGTGTGTGGTTATTATTTTTTTCTGGGGCATTGGACCTTCTATGTTTTAGAAAAAAAGTAAACGTTAACAAAATCAAAAGTGTCTCAGCCCGTACTTGAACCTAAGTCCTCCGGCACCACAGTCCATCTCCTTATCAATGAGCTATAACCACAGTAAATCGTCCGGTGAAGAGAGAATAATGAGCAGTGAGAAGCCAATGTTCTCTGCTCACAAGTGCCACCTGGTGGTTGTTTGGGTCACTGCAGCATCACTGGGAAAAAAAATAATAATAATATATATATATTAATGTATGTATGTATGTACATTTCTATCATGTGCATTTCTTATATGTAAATTGCTGTTAAATCTATAATTCAACAACATCGCAGCCTCCACCTCTTCGACCTTCGAACGCACGCTCTCATCACAACTTCACCCTGATGTCACGACCATAGACTGTAAATATAAACGACCCGTGCCTAGGTCTTATACTACCACCAGTACCTATAGGAACTATTCCTGTCCTGAAACAGTTGTTATTTTGTGCTTTACAATTCTTACTATATTCTTACTCTTACTATTTTTCTCCTGAGATGTTGCTGCAGTACAGTGTTCAGGGTTTTACACTGGTCCAGACCAGAGCAGAGAGGATTCATGGTCCAGAGTCCGGACCAAGCGGATCAGGCGAAAAATCCACTGGAGGAAGGCTAACTTTTTGAAATATGCTAACAAAGCATTCAGCATCTCACTTTGAAATAAGCAGAGAACATGGTCCGGACCAAGCGGCTGCTCCATCTCTGCTGCTGTTGCATTTTCATACTATTGTTAGATACTTTTCAGAATGGGTTAGGGTTATTTGAGTGAGTTTGTGTGTTTCTGCTGCTACTGGACACCTGATTTTCTCCTACAGGATCAATAAAGTATCTACCTATCTATGACCTACTGTAGGTCTTATGCCACCACCAATACCTAGGTCCCGGGGGATTGTAAGCAGTACAAGGAATAATGAGCTGCAGCCGGGGCCTAGGGCCAAACAAACACATTCATAAGTTAATGTCTGTGTCGTCTCTCCAGACTGAAATGACAGAAGCGAGATGGAAAACACACTGACTATCACTGACTATCACTGACTATCACTGACTATGACTGACTATCACTGACTATCACTGACTATCACTGACTATGACTGACTATCACTGACTATCACTGACTATCACTGACTATCACTGACTATCACTGACTATCACTGACTATGACTGACTATCACTGACTATGACTGACTATCACTGACTATGACTGACTATCACTGACTATCACTGACTATCACTGACTATCACTGACTATCACTGACTATCACTGACTATGACTGACTATCACTGACTATGACTGACTATCACTGACTATCACTGACTATCACTGACTATGACTGACTATCACTGACTATGACTGACTATCACTGACTATCACTGACTATCACTGACTATCACTGACTATCACTGACTATCACTGACTATGACTGACTATCACTGACTATGACTGACTATCACTGACTATCACTGACTATCACTGACTATCACTGACTATCACTGACTATCACTGACTATCACTGACTATCACTCACAACATTCACATCCATTGCACATGTGTTTAGTAGGAAACTGGAGCAGCTGGAGGAAACCTTGGCAGACATGGGAAAACATGCAAACCCCAACCAGAACACCCTGTATGGAGGGGAAATCGAACCCAGGACCTTCGGGCTGTGAACACAACTTAGCTTGACCAGAGGCAGTTTGTAATCAGCCAATAATGATGAAGACGTTTTTAACATAAACATATCTGTGCGGCTAATACTGCAGCCTGAACTTGGTCTGATCCATTTCGGTGCACTTTTTAAAATCCAAAATAACATTTATAGCGAGATGATTGTATTGGATCAACAGAATAAACGTATAAAAAAGTTGCATTGTTCTAAATTCTGTCGTTATATGAAATTGTTTTGGAACTCACCGTCTTTTCTCATCATCTGCTGTTGGATCCTCTGCCCTGGAGACACAACACATGGTTACACTGTGGATCCCTGAAACCTCACAGACCCAGAGGCAGGACCGAATCTGCTGGAGTCTGTTCTATTCTCACGTTTTTTTTGTTTTCCATTTAATTCATTATAACCATCAAACTGGAGATCAACAATGAAAATGGAGCTGGATCTATAGTAAGTCGTCTGCTTAAGTAGTAAGCTTTCTGCTTTAGTACAGGAACTTCAAATCTCATTCATATCACAGCCTCAGTCCTGAGTCTACAGCCTCAGTCCTGAGTCTACAGCCTCAGTCCTGGATCTACAGCCTCAGTCCTGGATCTACAGTCTCAGTCTTGGGTCTACAGCCTCAGTCCTGGGTCTACAGCCTCAGTCCTGGATCTACAGTCTCAGTCCTGGGTCTACAGCCTCAGTCCTGTATCTACAGCCTCAGTCCTGTATCTACAGCCTCAGTCCCGGGTCTACAGCCTTGGTCCTGGATCTAAAGCCTCAGTCCTGGGTCTACAGCCTCAGTCCTGGATCTACAGCCTCAGTCCTGGATCTACAGCCTCAGTCCTGGATCTACAGCGGCACGGTGGCTGAGTGGATAGCACTCTTGCCTCTCAGCAAGAAGGTCCTGGGTTCGAATCCCGGTTGGACCAGAGCCTTTCTGAGTGGAGTTTGCATGTTCTCCCCGTGTCTGCGTAGGTTTCCTCCGGGTGCTCCGGTTTCCCCTACCACTAAAAATATGTACAATAGGTCTGGCATGTGCCTCCTGTACTGGCACCCCTGCTCCCAAAAATAACAATTGTAAACCGCTTTGAGACTCCGATGTGCAGTGAAAAGGCGGTATATAAATAAAGATTACTTACTTACTTACAGCCTCAGTCCCGGGTCTACAGCCTTGGTCCTGGATCTACAGCCTCAGTCCTGTATCTACAGCCTCAGTCCTGTATCTACAGCCTCAGTCCTGTATCTACAGCCTCAGTCCTGTATCTACAGCCTCAGTCCTGGATCTACAGCCTTGGTCCTGTATCTACAGCCTCAGTCCTGTATCTACAGCCTCAGTCCTGTATCTACAGCCTCAGTCCTGGATCTACAGCCTTGGTCCTGTATCTACAGCCTCAGTCCCGGGTCTACAGCCTCAGTCCTGGGTCTACAGCCTCGGTCCTGGATCTAAAGCCTCAGTCCTGGGTCTACAGCCTCAGTCCTGGATCTACAGCCTAAGTCTCTTTCTAGTCTCTCTCTGAAGTGGCAGATCTCATGGCTACTTTTATCATTTTGACTGCTCCCATTCAAATTTTAAAAAAATCTGTAAATTCCCCAAAAAGTTAAGTTAAACGATTCATAAGGTTCTAATTATTTCCATTTAAAGTTGCAGCTATTGATTAATATAATAATCGATAACTCTCAATGGAATCGAAACCATCAGAAACCAGTAAACAAACACCAGGTGAGCTCCTGGTTCCACTCTGCAGACGCTTCAATTGTTCTGTTCTTTCTGCTGCGTTCACTGTTTCAGAGCTAAGATTAGCTCGACGTTAGCGCTGTCAGCTCTCAGGGGCCTGGGCTCCGAGGGCAGGTGGCAAACACACAAAACATGCTGAGTAGACACACACACACAAACGCACACACACAAACACAAACTAACACCTGTGTAAAATTTAAAACAGTTCAAGAAAGAGGAATAAATCTGTTTATTGTGTTCTTGTTTCTATCATATCGCCTCATTCCCATTATTATCCGTCCAGAATTCCCAGGCTCAATGGGAATACAGATATGGTTATTGATAGTGGAATTGTTGTTGGGTTATCCTTAAAGTGAACGTAAGTATGATCAGTTCAGACAAATTTTGGGTTGACCTGATGAAAACAAGCTAATAATTATCCACATTGTCCAAAATTGGGATGTTTTGTGAAACTATTTTGCAAGAAAATGTCCAACAAGTGTTTTTATCTTTCTGTTGAGTGTGGATGTTTTTATCTTGTGTGGCCTTTCTGTTGGGTGTGGATGTTTTTATCTTGTGGGGCTGTTTTGTTGTGAGGGTGTGGGTTTTCTGTTCTGAAATAAATAAGCCGCCTGCAGAGCAACAAGCAGGACTTAGTTTTTGGCTGTGTAGGACGCTACAGGGGCGACAGTAGCTCAGTTGGTAGAGCATTGGCCTTTGGGCCTGAAGGTCGTGGGTTTGAGCCCACCTCAAGACCAACTTCACGACTCCCACTGATGACTGCTGTCGTTGTGTCCTTGGGCAAGACACTTAACCCCACTTTGCCTGAAGCCCCTACTGAAAAATCTCAGCACCTGCAGGAGGATCAGTGAGGGGCTGGTACTGTGTGACTGGGTGCAGCTTTGACTGCCACTCCCCCGACCCAGAAATGGATTAAGGGGAAGAGAATGGATGGATAGATGGACGCTACAGGCCTCCTAAGCAGCTGAAAGACATCTCCTTGTTACATGCAGTAAAAAACCTTGTCTGTTGTGTGCTTCTGTCCAGATATCTGTAGTAGAACCCGGTTTTTCACAGTTATTTCAGCCGCTTAAATTGTGTATGTATATTGTATATTTCTGCTTATTTGGCTCTGACCCTTCTCATTCATTCCATTTAAATTCCCATTGGGTTTCTGAGTGATCCAGGAGGGTCTGAGGACAGTGCTGATCTGTTGTTGTCGAATCCACAACTTAAAGTCCTGCTGTGGTTGAATTGAAGTGAAGTCTAGGTCATTCCATTGTGCTTTTCTCCTGGTTATGAAACATTTTTTCTACATCTCTTACTCGCTGACCTGGCAAGGACAGCTTGAATTCCCCTTTGTTGAAAACTGCAGTGAAACACAATCAATCCCAAGCAATCTCCATGACAAGTATGAGGTGCTTTAAAGCTGGGGTACCTAACTTTCACACCAAATAATAGATCCATGCAACATCGTCCATACGTCTCTAAACAAGAAACTGCTTTCACATTTTTTCTGTTTTCTGGCACATTATTACATCAGATTTATCAGACAGAAATGTGGAAAATAGAAGACCACGCTTCTCAGCCAATAGGAACTCAGCTCACAGCCCAAATGGTCAAATAGTGACTCACAGGGCTCTTTGGTACAAGTATGCGAAAGATGGAAGATGGTCTGATTCGTACTATCACAGTAACTCTTTCTGCTGGGACAAATAAAATCTATTATTTATGATACAAAAGTGACCTCACAATTACTGCACATCGGATTAACGTAGAGAAGAATGAGCCAACCCAATAAATTAGACCCAGCGCAAAAAAAATCAGTCAACGGTTTAATTGGGGATTAAGTCTCTTTGAACCACTGCAAAACAGGCCTAAATTAAACAAGTTCCATTCAGTTCAATGTATTTGTGTCTCGCCTTAAATCACAACAGCAGTCGCCTCAGAGGACTTTACAAAGTTTCGGATTCACCAACAACAGATCAGAGAATCAAATAGTTTGAATAAATAAGAAACTCATAGGAGCCATTGGTCCAAAAGAGCGGGATGCACCCTCAGAAACTCAGTGGGCAAAGACAACATGGTGTCTTTGCCCACATGGTGACAACAGGCTGTAGATCCAGGACTGAGGCCGTAGACCCAAGACTGAGGCTGTAGACCCAGAACTGAGGCTGTTGATCCAGGTCTGAGGCTGTAGATCCAGGACTGAGGCTGTAGATCCAGGTCTGAGGCTGTAAATTGAGTCCTGGATTTACAATGTGCTTCTCTCTCTCTCTCTCTCTCTCTCTCTCTCAGTCTTTGTGATGGCTGTATCGTGGCCTCTCCCTGAATCCTGATGTGGTTGTGTGTGTCTTGTGTGTTTTGTGCAGAGAAGCTGGGATGTGTGTGTTGCCTGTTTTTAAATGAGAGACACCCACACAAACATTAAACCATTCACGGAGCTCTGCCTCAGATTGGAGTCCGCCCTCGTCTCCCGGGGCAACATGTTTAACTTGGATCCGGAGGCAAAGTGACTATTTCTCCAAACATTTTCTCAGCTGAGTTTTATCTCTGAATGAAATCTTCAAAATACAGTGTGCGCCGTTTGATGTTAAAGAGGATGATATATGAGAAGACCTCTTTTCTTTGTGTTTGAACTGTTTGATTCTCTGATCTATGTTGGCAATTTCAACAGTTTTGTAAAGTCCTCTGAGATAACTACTGTTGTGATCTAGGGCGATACTCTACTCAGCTCTACTGTCCTCTACTCTACTCTATCATATCATAAAAACCTACCCACAACAAACCACTATCTGTGGAAATTCCTCGGTAACCATGGCTTCCAGCAGGACTCTGGCTAATTACTGTCAGTTAGAACACTTTAGTGCCAGCTCGACCTGGATTACAACCAGGACCAAGAGGGACTAAAGACGCACCTGGTACTGGTCTCACACACAACCAATCAGGGCAGAGTAGAGTAGGTTAGGGTAGAGTTGAGTAGGGTGGAGTAGAGTAGAGTAGGGTAGAGTAGAGTAGAGTAGGGTAGGGTATAGGGTAGGGTAGAATAGAGTAGAGTAAGGAGAATAGAGAAGAGTGTAGGGTAGAGTAGAGTAGGCTAGAATAGAGTAGAGTAGGGTAGAGTAGAGTTGTGTAGGGTAGGGTAGAATAGAGTAGAGTAGAGTAGGGTAGGGTAGAATAGAGTAGAGTAGAGTAGGGTAGGGTAGAATAGAGTAGAGTAGAGTAGGGTAGAGTAGAGTTGTGTAGGGTAGGGTAGAATAGAGTAGAGTAGAGTAGGGTAGGGTAGAATAGAGTACAGTAGAGTAGGGTAGGGTAGAATAGAGTAGAGTAGAGTAGGGTAGAGTAGAGTCGTGTAGGGTAGGGTAGAATAGAGTAGAGTAGAGTAGGGTAGAGTAGAGTTGTGTAGGGTAGGGTAGAATAGAGTACAGTAGAGTAGGGTAGGGTAGAATAGAGTAGAGTAGAGTAGAGTAGGGTAGGGAAGAATAGAGTAGGGTAGGGTAGGGTAGGGTTACCAATAAGTACAAGGATGCATAAGCACTTTTGTTTACTTCTTAAAACTACTACTACTACTACTACTACTACTACTACTGCTGCTGCTGCTACAATGCTACCAGACAGAAACTTCTCATCACTTTATTATATTATAGTTGAATATTTGTGAAGTGTTTAGGGCATTGTACTCACACGTCCTTGGAGACATCGGCAGGCCCTGGAAGAGAAACAAAGAGAAACTCACTCAATATTGTCTTTGAGAAGAAGAAAAAGAAAAGCTTTGTGAACCGAGCAGCGACCTTCAGAGTCCGCTGCACCTGAGCCCAAGACCAGACTGAAAGATTATATAAACAATAGATTCTAATGGACCATTTTATAAAGATCCATCTCAGCGACTGTAGCAGGGTGAAAAGGACCAGAGAGTGAGAGAGAGACCAGAAACCAGAGAGAGAGACCAGAAACCAGAGAGAGAGACCAGAAACCAGAGAGAGAGAGACCAGAAACCAGAGAGAGAGGCCAGAAACCAGAGAGAGAGAGACCAGAAACCAGAGAGAGAGAGACCAGAAACCAGAGAGAGAGAGACCAGAAACCAGAGAGAGAGGCCAGAAACCAGAGAGAGAGAGACCAGAAACCAGAGAGAGAGGCCAGAACCCAGAGAGAGAGACCAGAAACCAGAGAGAGACCAGAAACCAGAGAGAGAGGCCAGAAACCAGAGAGAGAGAGACCAGAAACCAGAGAGAGAGGCCAGAACCCAGAGAGAGAGACCAGAAACCAGAGAGAGACCAGAAACCAGAGAGAGAGGCCAGAAACCAGAGAGAGACCATAAACCAGAGAGAGAGACCATAAACCAGAAAGAGAGGATAGAAACCAGAGAGAGAGGAAAGAAACCAGAGAGAGAGGTAAGAAACCAGAGAGAGAGAGACCAGAAACCAGAGAGAGAGGCCAGAAACCAGAAAGAGAGGATAGAAACCAGAGAGAGAGACCAAAAACCAGAGAGAGAGGCCAGAAACCAGAGAGAGGCAAGAAACCAGAGAAAGTGACCAGAAAGAGAGACCAGAAACCAGAGAGAGAGGCCAGAAACCAGAGAGAGAGACCAGAAACCAGAGAGAGAGGCCAGAAACCAGAGAGAGAGGCCAGAAACCAGAGAGAGAGAGACCAGAAACCAGAGAGAGACCAGAAACCAGAGAGAGAGGCCAGAACCCAGAGAGAGAGAGACCAGAAACCAGAGAGAGAGACCAGAAACCAGAGAGAGAGAGACCAGAAACCAGAGAGAGAGGCCAGAACCCAGAGAGAGAGAGACCAGAAACCAGAGAGAGAGGCCAGAACCCAGAGAGAGAGAGACCAGAAACCAGAGAGAGAGGCCAGAAACCAGAGAGAGAGGCCATAAACCAGAAAGAGAGGATAGAAACCAGAGAGAGAGGAAAGAAACCAGAGAGAGAGGTAAGAAACCAGAGAGAGAGGCCAGAAACCAGAGAGAGAGACCAGAAACCAGAAAGAGAGGATAGAAACCAGAGAGAGAGACCAAAAACCAGAGAGAGAGGCCAGAAACCAGAGAGAGGCAATAAACCAGAGAAAGTGACACAAGCACAACACACAACAAGACACAGGCCCAAACACTCTCTGACCACACACCACTCGCTCTGTGCTGAAGTCCTCACTCCTCCACAGACTTCTGCAGTGCTTCCTTTTTGAACAGATTTTAAAACCGTAACAGATTTGATGTTTTTAATTTAAAGTATCTCCGATGTCTCAGATGGTAAAAGGGTGAATGGTTGTGTTTGTGTCAATAGCAGTGTTGTGTAATCAGTCCATAATGAGCCGTGAGAATACACAGAGGGTCATTAATTTAAGTGGAACTGATGAAGTCTCCAAAGCACCAGGGGGACTCTATAGATCGTTACACACTGATGAGGACTGAAGCAGTGGTTTAAAATGGATCTATAATAATAACTGGATAGGGCACTAGCTTAAAGCTTTGAGGGGGCTTCCCACTCAAAGAACTCTCTCGAACTACGTGAAAACTGAACAAAGAATTCGAAATATCAGCAGTGACCCAAATATAAACTCAACCTAAATCCATGAATTGTGTAGTATTAATATTAATAGTTACTTTCGGGTTTACCGCTGTCGCACTTTGTCGTATTAAAACTGTATTTTTGTCATGAAAACGTTTACAGATAGTTCTGAAAACCTCCGTGCACTTGTATTAAGAATGTATAATGTATTCTCCGATTAACGTTTAAATGTGTTGATTGTTGTTTGTGTTTATTGTTACACCATGGATCTATGTGTAGCTACACTAGAATGGAATTATTGAAATTACATTCAAATCAATGGAGCTTTCTACGTCTCCTGTCAGGAGCCGTATATTTTATTAATAAATACTAGGCACCCTGCTCTGAACACGGCTCAGTCGTTCACACGTCTGCGTCTGCTGGCCTTCCCCAGGCATGGCAAGTCAGGTACCCTGTGAGCTGGGTGAGGTCCTGTGAGCTGGGTGAGGTCCTGTGAGCTGGGTGAGGCCCTGTGAGGTCCTGTGAGCTGGGTGAGGTCCTGTGAGCTGGGTGAGGTCCTGTGAGCTGGGTGAGGCCCTGTGAGCTGGGTGAGGTCCTGTGAGCTGGGTGAGGTCCTGTGAGCTGGGTGAGGCCCTGTGAGGTCCTGTGAGCTGGGTGAGGCCCTGTGAGGTCCTGTGAGCTGGGTGAGGTCCTGTGAGCTGGGTGAGGTCCTGTGAGCTGGGTGAGGCCCTGTGAGCTGGATGAGGTCCTGTGAGCTGGGTGAGGCCCTGTGAGCTGGGTGAGGTCCTGTGAGCTGGGTGAGGCCCTGTGAGCTGGGTGAGGCCCTGTGAGCTGGGTGAGGCCCTGTGAGCTGGGTGAGGCCCTGTGAGCTGGGTGAGGCCCTGTGAGCTGGGTGAGCTGGGTGAGGCCCTGTGAGCTGGGTGAGGCCCTGTGAGCTGGGTGAGGCCCTGTGAGCTGGGTGAGGTCCTGTGAGCTGGGTGAGGCCCTGTGAGCTGGGTGAGGCCCTGTGAGCTGGGTGAGGCCCTGTGAGCTGGGTGAGGGTGAGGTCCTGTGAGCTGGGTGAGGCCCTGTGAGCTGGGTGAGGCCCTGTGAGCTGGGTGAGGCCCTGTGAGCTGGGTGAGGCCCTGTGAGCTGGGTGAGGTCCTGTGAGCTGGGTGAGGCCCTGTGAGGTCCTGTGAGCTGGGTGAGGCCCTGTGAGCTGGGTGAGGTCCTGTGAGCTGGGTGAGGTCCTGTGAGCTGGGTGAGGCCCTGTGAGCTGGGTGAGGTCCTGTGAGCTGGGTGAGGCCCTGTGAGGTCCTGTGAGCTAGGTGAGGCCCTGTGAGCTGGGCGAGGTCCGGTGAGCTGGGCGAGGTCCGGTGGCTGGGCGAGGTCCTGTGAGCTGGGTGAGGTCCTGTGAGCTGGGTGAGGCCCTGTGAGAGCTGGGTGAGGCCTTGTGAGCTGGGTGAGGCCCTGTGAGGTCCTGTGAGCTGGGTGAGGCCCTGTGAGGTCCTGTGTGCTGGGTGAGGCCCTGTGAGCTGGGCGAGGTCCGGTGAGCTGGGTGAGGTCCTGTGAGCTGGGCGAGGTCCGGTGAGCTGGGTGAGGTCCTGTGAGCTGGGTGAGGTCCTGTGAGCTGGGTGAGGTCCTGTGAGCTGGGTGAGGCCTTGTGAGCTGGGTGAGGCCCTGTGAGGTCCTGTGAGCTGGGTGAGGCCCTGTGAGGTCCTGTGTGCTGGGTGAGGCCCTGTGAGCTGGGCGAGGTCCGGTGAGCTGGGTGAGGTCCTGTGAGCTGGGCGAGGTCCGGTGAGCTGGGTGAGGTCCTGTGAGCTGGGTGAGGTCCTGTGAGCTGGGTGAGGTCCTGTGAGCTGGGTGAGGTCCTGTGAGCTGGGCGAGGTCCGGTGAGCTGGGTGAGGTCCTGTGAGCTGGGTGAGGTCCTGTGAGCTGGGTGAGGCCCTGTGAGCTGGGTGAGGTCCTGTGAGCTGGGTGAGGCCCTGTGAGGTCCTGTGAGCTGGGTGAGGCCCTGTGAGCTGGGCGAGGTCCGGTGAGCTGGGCGAGGTCCGGTGAGCTGGGCGAGGTCCTGTGAGCTGGGTGAGGTCCTGTGAGCTGGGTGAGGCCTTGTGAGCTGGGTGAGGCCCTGTGAGGTCCTGTGAGCTGGGTGAGGCCCTGTGAGGTCCTGTGTGCTAGGGGTGAGGCCCTGTGAGCTGGGCGAGGTCCGGTGAGCTGGGTGAGGTCCTGTGAGCTGAGCTGGGCGAGGTCCGGTGAGCTGGGTGAGGTCCTGTGAGCTGGGTGAGGTCCTGTGAGCTGGGCGAGGTCCGGTGAGCTGGGTGAGGTCCTGTGAGAGCGTTCTGGTTTGATATTGGAGGAACTGCACATTTCTCTAAACTCCAATAACGGATTCATGCTACAAAGATTGGGATGAATCTGAGCCTTTAGTAAAAATCGTTAGATTATAGTTTCAGATGAATTTGGTTATAAATGTGTCCACTGCCGCTTTGTCGAGCTCATGTTTTTTAGCTTCAACTTAAATGTTATTGTGGATAAAACTCTTAAAACTGTGATTATTCATGATTTGTGATTTAAAAGTTTTGTGGGATGTTTTTTTTATTTATTTTGAACGATGAGTTGTCTTGTGTATGAATTGTGCAATGCAAATAAACTAGTGATGATTCAGAACTGTAGTGTATATATTATAATTTTGGAACATACTCACACAAATTACACACATCTACACCTACACACACACACACACACACCCTGGTTTAGGTCTTATCTCAGACTGAGGCACACGCGCACACACTCACACACACGTACACCCTGGTTTAGGTCTTATCTCAGACGGAGACACACACACGCACACACACATACACCCTGGTTTAGGTCTTATCCCAGACGGAGACACACACCCTGGTTTAGGTCTAGTCTCAGACACACACGCACACACACACACACACACACCCTGGTTTAGGTCTTTTCCCAGATGGAGACCGAGATTGTTTCCTGGTTCCAATAATGCAAACTCTGTCCTCATTTGTGTGTGTGCCCAGTGTATTTGAATACCTCTGCTTTAAAGGCGTGTGTTTATATTTGCATGATGGTGATGGTTCCAGATGAAGTCAGACCTGGTGAAGGAAGTGGCCTACACCAGGAGGAAGCAGCACCAGTCGTCGCTGCAGTATTACTGTGCCCTGAACGCTCTGCAGTACAGGAAGAGAGTGGCCATGTTGGAACCAATGCTGGGATACACACAGGCCCAGGTGATCCATGCTAATGCTAATGCTAATGCTAATGCGATGCAAATCACATTCAAATGAGCAGCTATAAACATAAAGCCATTACCCAATGTGTCTTGACTTTTTGCAAGCTCTAGTAGAGAAATATAGAAGGAAATAATACAACTTCTTACCCATGGAATTTAATTGATATATAGATTAGATCAATTATGGTTCCTCTCCCTGGTCTCTTTCTCTGGTCTGTCTCTCTGGTCTGTCTCTCTGGTCTGTCTCTCTGGTCTGTCTCTCTGGTCAATCTCTCTGGTCTCTCTGGTCTATCTCTGGTCTATCTCTGGTCTCTCTCTCTGGTCTCTCTGGTCTCTCTCATTGGTCTCTCTGGTCTCTCTCATTGGTCTCTCTCATTGGTCTATCTCTCTGGTCTCTCTCATTGGTCTATCTCTCTGGTCTCTCTCATTGGTCTCTCTCATTGGTCTCTCTCATTGGTCTATCTCTCTGGTCTCTCTCATTGGTCTATCTCTCTGGTCTCTCTCATTGGTCTCTCTCATTGGTCTCTCTCATTGGTCTATCTCTCTGGTCTCTCTCATTGGTCTATCTCTCTGGTCTCTCTCATTGGTCTCTCTCATTGGTCTCTCTCTCTGGTCTCTCTCATCGGTCTCTATCTCTCTGGTCTCTTTCATTGGTCTCTCTGGTCTCTCTCATTGGTCTCTCTCTCTGGTCTCTCTCTGGTCTCTCTCTCTGGTCTCTCTGGTCTCTCTCTGGTCTCTCTCTCTGGTCTTTCTGGTCTCTCTCTCTCTGGTCTTTCTCATTGGTCTCTCTCTCTGGTCTCTCTCTGGTCTCTCTCTCTGGTCTCTATGGTCTCTCTCATCGGTATCTTTCTCTCTGGTCTCTATGGTCTCTCTCATCGGTATCTTTCTCTCTGGTCTCTCTCATTGGTCTCTCTTTCTCTCTCTCTCTCTCTCTCTGGTCTCTTTCACTTGTCTCTCTCTCTCTCTCTCTGGTCTCTTTCACTTGTCTCTCTCACTTCTCTCTCTGGTCTCTCTCTCTGGTTCTTCTCTCATCTTTTGATAATGAAGTTCTAACTAATCCATTTCCCAGTGCGTCTTGTCTCTGGAAGCTCTGGTAGAGAAATATAGAAGAAGATGAAACTTCTTACCCGTTCATTCTAATGTATATATAAATTAGACACATTAGGTGCTAACCACTCAGCCAAAACACTCTGGCTTCACAGCAAGCGGGTCCTGGGTTCGAATTCACCTCCAGAAAGGGCCTGTCAGAGTGGAGTTTGCATGTTCTCCTTGTGTCTGCGTATGTATTCCTAACCCCTAGAAACATGCTTAGCATTGCCAACGGCCACCAAAGACTAAGATCATTCTATATCAGAACTAATCTAGGACCAGATCAGTTATAGATGACAATGTTAATCCAGAATGAGTCCAGATGAGTTCATTTAACCTGGTTGAAGGTTTTAGAATTGGTCTGAGATATTGGTGATTTGAGCCCAGTTTGAAATGTCAGATTTCTAAAGAAGGAAGTTCTCTTTAAATGCTGCTATTGTTTTCTGTCTCAGATCAACTTCTACAAGAAAGGAATTGAACTGGTTTCAAAGAAGATGGACAACTTCCTCACCTCAGTCTCCAAAATGACGCAAAGGTAATTTTCGCAAAATATGTTCCCTGTGTGCATGCTGTCAGCGGGATCGGTCCTCAGGGTTCAGAAGGCTCGGTCCTCAGGGTTCAGAAGGCTCGGTCCTCAGCGGTCCTCAGGGTTCAGAAAGCTCGGTCCTCAGGGTTCAGAAGGCTCGGTCCTCAGGGTTCAGAAGGCTCGGTCCTCAGCGGTCCTCAGGGTTCAGAAGGCTCGGTCCTCAGGGTTCAGAAGGCTCGGTCCTCAGGGTTCAGAAGGCTCGGTCCTCAGGGTTCCTAAGGCTCGGTCCTCAGGGTTCCTAAGGCTCGGTCCTCAAGGTTCAGAAGGCTCGGTCCTCAGGGTTCAGAAGGCTCGGTCCTCAGCGGTCCTCAGGGTTCAGAAGGCTCGGTCCTCAGGGTTCAGAAGGCTCGGTCCTCAGGGTTCAGAAGGCTCGGTCCTCAGGGTTCCTAAGGCTCGGTCCTCAGGGTTCCTAAGGCTCGGTCCTCAAGGTTCAGAAGGCTCGGTCCTCAGCGGTCCTCAGGGTTCAGAAGGCTCGGTCCTGCGCGGTCCTCAGGGTTCAGAAAGCTCGGTCCTCAGGGTTCAGAAGACTCGGTCCTCAGGGTAGTTACTCTAACCAGGTGTCTCCAACCTTTTTCACCCAGAGACCTACTTTCCAGGGACGATTAAGGTAGAATCCTTTAAGTGACCCTGGGAAAAAGATGGTGATATATTGGTATGAACGTATAATTATGATTGTATATTTGTTACTAGTGACAAAGTATGTGCATTTAAAGTAATACATAATTATATTGAATAATACAATCTGAAATATTAAGTATATTTCTTGATTTGTGAGCTACCTGAAAGGGGTTGGCGAGCTAATGGTGTATCCTGAGCTACAGGTTGGAGACCCCTGCTCCAGACCCATGAACCCTTCTGTGTGTTCCTCGTGCCCAGTATTCAGAAGCAGCTGGACAGTGAGGCCGAGGCCATGCGAGGCTCTCAGAGGGAGCTCCTCTCTGTGGACGACAGCATCTACACTCCAGACCACGACCAGCAGTCTGTGAACCGCACCCTCATCTCCAAGGCCGGATACCTCAACATCAGGAAGTAAGAGCTCTTTACCTTTGCACATTAGAACTGCACAATCACTCGAGCACTTTAAATCCCTGCTTAAGACGCACCTTTTCTCTTTGGCTTTTGATACCAAGTAGAAAGAGACAAGTTTTTGGTTTTTAATTAGGAAATGCAATAATAACAAACACATAGGAGCCATTGGTCCAGAGGGAGCGGGATGACAGAAATGTTCATAAATATCCAGAAATGTCCTGAATCATCACTGTCCTTAGACCCTGTATTTGTCCTAAAAGCTGATGAACCTAACTTTCAAATCACAAACATTTAAGTATCTACAGTAGTTTAATCTTATAACTAGCGCCTTGTCCTCATACATTGATGGTTCTACCACTAGCTTTTCACTTTAAATCAGCCAAAAAGAGTAGCACCCTCACTGTTTTCTAATGAGATGAAGACAATCACACAATCACACACAAAATATGTTATGGATTACAAAGTCAGGCACCCCAGCTTTAGTTTAGCCGGGAGCTATATTTAACGACATTTATGGACATTGGTGATCTGCCACTTATGGACCAATGGCTCTATGTGGTTTTAATCATTGTATTTCCTGTGTTTCAACCCTTGGGCAAGACACTTCACCCACATTAGAATGAGTATGCTGTGTGCGTGGTTGGTGGTTGGTGGTGGGAGGTCTGATGGCAGTGTCAGTGTGCCCCGGGGGCCGCTGTGGCTACTGTAGTACTTTATCACCACTGTGTTTGGAGTGAGAGAATAACACTGTGAAGCATCTGTGAGTGTCCAGAACAGCGCTGTATAAAACCCATGCATTATTAATTATCATGATTTTCCACAACACTGGTGCGAAGGCGGTGTTTTGCTGCCGTGGCTCAGAATGAACTCCTAAACAAAAGCCTGCAGCGTCGACAAGGTGACTCCTGTGTCAGCTCGTTCACTCCCAAACTTCTGCTTCTGCTTAATGGCTTTGGGGGAGAACAAGCGCAGCATCGCCCCCTGATGTGATTTAGTGAAATGTCACGTCTGTCAAAGCTCCGCCTCGCGCTCATATACATCCACACGTTTGACAAATGCATGTGACAAAAGAGAAAAGGTTTCGCAGCCGGAGCCATTCTGTGAACTGACGCACAGACGCACGTTTGTCAGATGGAGCCGAGAGCGCCGGCGTTTGGAGTAGTTCGTCAATGTTCCCGGCCCGCGTCACCCGTAGCACCAGCGGGAGATCAGCATTCATCACGTGGGTTATTCAGGTGATTTGCTGGATGTGGAATGAACTCACTACAAGATGTATTCAGAGGAGTCAGAGGAGGTGATAAAACTGAAGAAAAAGCAGAAATGGTTGGAGGAGATGGTTTTAATATGGATGGAGGAACTGTTGGATTCATATAAGAACTAAAAACTGAAGTTATGGCGAGTTTGTAGTATAAAAGTGCCACACACACACAGTTAGACACAGACACATACTGTACATACACAGACACACACACACAGACATACGCGCAGACAGACACACAGACAGACACACACATACAGTAGGTCCCATTTCGTTTTGTCGCCTTTCACGCGTGAATCACACGAGACTCACGTGTGATTCACGCGTCTTTTATTTGTTTTTTTCCCAGTGATGCTGCAATGACCCAAACAACCACCAGGTGGCACTTGTGAGCAGAGAACATTGGCTTCTCACTGCTCATTATTCTCTCTTCACCGGACGATTTGCTGTGGCTTTATAGCTCATTGATAAGGAGATGGACTGTGGTGCCAGAGGACTTAGGTTCAAGTACAGGCTGAGACACTTTTGATTTTGTTAACGTTTACATTTTTTCTAAAACATAGAAGGTCCAATGCCCCAGAAAAAAATAATAATAACCACACACGTTTATTGCAGTAATTTTTGTTAATACTTTTCACGAGGAGTTAGTGGACATGTGTGCCTATTTTAATATGAGCGGCCTTTGTGGGAATGGTTATATTAAAAGTATTAGAGTGAAACGCCGCGGTTCAGCATGTCACTGAAACCAGGGGCAGACGTGTTGCTAAGACGGTTGTGGGAGGCTGAACTTTCCCCGCGACTGGAAAAGCATCCGATGGACCTGCACTAATATGGTGAAATGGTACACCAGCACTAATCCAACCATAAACACCAGAACACGATTGTTTATGATTAACATGTTGAGTGTGACACAAAGGTAAAGAGATAAAGGATTAGAAGGAGCCGAGGGCGATGGCGTTAAGCTAGGGTTTTAGCATATACCAATTAACAGAATCATAATCGAAACATTTTAATTCCACGTAAGTAAAGGATTTTCACAGGCTAGGAATTGGCTTTGGCTCAGTGCACAGTCACAAAAGAGCTCATAAAAATAAGACTAAAAAACATTCTAAAGGAATAATTAAAATTTACTAATAGGTTACGTTACTATTTCATTACCTTGCCCGGATGACCCAGATACGGAGGAAGCAGTACAGAGCAGAAAAGGCTATGAGTGTACGAGCAGTGCGGGCAGATCTTCACAAAACTTAGAAACCTCTGACTGTGTATAATTCAAGTACGTGTAAAATACAAGAATTGCACAAATAAAGCATTACTTAGAAAGTTACTAACAACCACTGATAAAATACAAACAAAAAGAGCTTATGCCGCTAATTTATGACTCAGCATGTGCGAATAATGTGGTTTTGCATTCGTGTTGCGTTTGATAGAAGCCAAAACTTAACTGATTGTTCACCACTTTAACAAACTCTAAAAGGTAACATACATGGAGGCTGTGTTCTTCTAGAATCCCTGTTGTACACGTCTCATATCCAACTAAACTCATATTAATACAGGACACCTCCTTGTAATGTAGGTAAGCGCCAGTCCCTGTGCTCCTCAGAGTCCCAGCAGGAGTCCAGTCCCTGTGCTCCTCAGAGTCCCAGCAGGAGTCCAGTCCCTGTGCTCCTCAGAGTCCCAGCAGGAGTCCAGTCCCTGTGCTCCTCAGAGTCCCAGCAGGAGTCCAGTCCCTGTGCTCCTCAGAGTCCCAGCAGGAGTCCAGTCCCTGTGCTCCTCAGAGTCCCAGCAGGAGTCCAGTCCCTGTGCTCCTCAGAGTCCCAGCAGGAGTCCAGTCCCTGTGCTCCTCAGAGTCCCAGCAGGAGTCCAGTCCCTGTGCTCCTCAGAGTCCCAGCAGGAGGCCAGTCCCTGTGCTCCTCAGAGTCCCAGCAGGAGTCCAGTCCCTGTGCTCCTCAGAGTCCCAGCAGGAGTCCAGTCCCATGTGCTCCTCAGAGTCCCAGCAGGAGGTCCAGTCCCTGTGCTCCTCAGAGTCCCAGCAGGAGTCCAGTCCCTGTGCTCCTCAGAGTCCCAGCAGGAGTCCAGTCCCTGTGCTCCTCAGAGTCCCAGCAGGAGTCCAGTCCCTGTGCTCCTCAGAGTCCCAGCAGGAGTCCAGTCCCTGTGCTCCTCAGAGTCCCAGCAGGAGGCCAGTCCCTGTGCTCCTCAGAGTCCCAGCAGGAGTCCAGTCCCTGTGCTCCTCAGAGTCCCAGCAGGAGTCCAGTCCCTGTGCTCCTCAGAGTCCCAGCAGGAGTCCAGTCCCTGTGCTCCTCAGAGTCCCAGCAGGAGGCCAGTCCCTGTGCTCCTCAGAGTCCCAGCAGGAGGCCAGTCCCTGTGCTCCTCAGAGTCCCAGCAGGAGTCCAGTCCCTGTGCTCCTCAGAGTCCCAGCAGGAGCCAGTCCCTGTGCTCCTCAGAGTCCCAGCAGGAGTCCAGTCCCTGTGCTCCTCAGAGTCCCAGCAGGAGTCCAGTCCCTGTGCTCCTCAGATGGGAAAAGGAGGCCTGAATCATGTTATGGCCGTTGAGTACGCTCCGTTCACAAAAAACACAAAGCAGCTTCCTAGTCTGTTCCAACGCGGTTTCTACTTGGTTTTAATGGAAAAACAATGATTATAAGACAAATAATGATAAAATTAGATGTTTTACTTGACTGTTTGGGTGGAACACATTGGAGACCAGTCCTGTGCATCTCAGCGACCCAGCAGGAGGTCCAGTCCCAGTGTCTCAGGTCCAGCATGGAGTACAGTCCTGTGTCCTCAGAGCGTTAACAGCAGCAAACAGTCCTGTGTCCTCAGCGTCCAGCATGAGTCATTCCAGTCCTGTGCTCGCGGAGTCCAGCAGGAAACAGTCCCTGTGCTCCTCACGAGTCCACGCATGAGTCCAGTCCTGTGTTCGGAGTCTCGCAGGCGTTCAGTCCTGTGCTCTCAGTGTTCGCATGTGAGACCCAGTCCCTGTGTACTCTCGCGTCCGCAGCGAGTATCCAGTACCTGTGCTCTCAGTAGTCCAGGCAGGAGACCAGTCCTGTGCTCCTCAGAGTCAGAGGAGTAGTCCCTGAGCCCTCAGCGTCCAGCAGGAGTCAGTCCTGTGCTCTCAGAGTCCCAGCAGGCGAGACAGTCCTGCAGCTCTCAGAAAACCGACGAGTCAGACAGTCTCAAGATAGGAAGCACAAGTACGAGTCAATTTAACAATAATATTTACATTAAAATCTTAAAATCAGTTTTATCCATTTAAAACCAGGAAAAGAAAGCGTAATGTGAAGAGCGAGAGACGCGCTCTGTGGAAATGAGGATGAATCACGCTTCTTCCGGAAGTTGCGTCACGGGATTTTTCTTGTGACAAATGAAAATTGGTCTTAAGATGAAGGGAAGTTATTCGGATCTGTTTCGTAACAGGTTGTGTAAAGTCCGTTAGGAGCATAAATATAACAAAGTTTATGCAATAAGTATTACAAATAAGAGCTAGGGACACTTAACCAGACTACATAGCACTTATCATAATATAATGGTTTTATAGTCTAACCCCTGGAGTCGAGAACAGGACTTGAGGTGTATAAATTACCTTATATTGACTAAACTCTTATGGTTCGGAGATCTGTTTTAATTCAGCAAAACAAATAGCCATAGTCTCAGATTATTGTTTTTTTTTATTTACTTTTTATTTATTTTTAATTTTTTTAGTAAGCTTTTTTATATTTTATTTAGTTTTATTTTAGTTTTTTAGTTTTTTTCGTTTTTTTATATTATTTTTGTTTCTATTTTTATTTTAGATTTTTTACTTTTATTTTTCTTTGGTTTTGTTTATTAGTTTTTTTTTGTTAAGAGCTGTGAGCTTTGCCTGTTTTTCTTGTGCCCAAAGAGTCTACATTTGTATCTAATAAATTCTGAATAAGATTCAAAGAATGAAGAATGTGAAGAAATCGTAGAGGGGTGATGGTTGGTACTCATGGTTCTTGTGGTTGATGGTTGGACTCTTTGGATCTCTCTGTGTTTGATGGACACTGGATTTGGTTCTTGAGGACTGTGGTCTGGTTTCTTGGTTCTTGTGGTAGATGTTCAGGTTACTTGGTCTTCGTGGTCTGAAGTTAGGATTTTGGTTCTCTGTGTCAGATGGATGTCTCCTTTGTCTCTTGTGTATGATGGTCTGGTCTCTCTTGGTCCTTAGAGGTCTGAGGTCCTGGTCTCACACCGGACCACAGTTGCGACTGTGAAGATAGAAGAGTGTAGAGTTGTTGTGTGTCCTCTCATGGTTCAGTCGTTATAGGATTGCACGGCACATCTTCTTTATAAATTTGTATCGTGATTGTATGTTCTGTATTCACTCAAAAACACAGCAGCGTTTAGAAGCATAAATACTTTGTTAAAATTTGTCCCATTAAGGATATTCTTCGGGAAGTGAGTGTGAGTGAGCTGTGTAGAGGTGCGAGTGAGAGTTGAACTCAACCAAAGTCGAAACTAGTGCAATTCATAGCACATACGACAGCGTTATGCGAGAAATAAGGATTGGTCCCAACTCTCACCAGGCCGTTCTAACCTGCAATAGAAACTTTAAAACTAATTAAAAGTTCACAATGACAAGAGAATGTTAGTACTCCATTGGTTCCTGTTTAAACCGTACGGTTGCTCTATTAAGACCTTTGGTCTGGTTATCCGGCGAGGAGGTACCTAAAAAGTCGATCTAATGACAGTGATAGGACATGAGAGCTGCT